ATAAGAACATAAGAGAAGCCAATGTTGGATCAGGCCAGTGGCCCATCCAGTCCAACACTCTGTCACACAGTGGCCAAAAATACCAGGTGCCATCAGGAGGTCCACCAGTGGGCCCAGAACTCCAGAGACCCTCCCACTCTTGCCCCATGAATATGGAGCATCACTGCCCCACATATAAGAACATAAGAGAAGCCAATGTTGGATCAGGCCAATGGCCCATGCAGTCCAATACTCTGTCACTCAGTGGCCAAAAATACCCAGGTGCCATCAGGCTCTCTTGGGGTATCTGAAGGGCTGTCCCTTACGGGAGGGCAGGGAGCTGTTCCTGTCGGGAGCAGAGGAGAGGACTCGCAATCATGGGTTTAAATGAAGGGCGGCAAGGTGCCGGCTGGGTCTTTGGAAAAACTTTTTGACAGTCAAGAGTTGTACAACAGTGGAATCAGCTGCATAGGGAGGTGGTGAGCTCCCCCTCCCTGGCAGTCTTGAAGCAGCGGCTGGACAAACAGGGATGCTCTAGGCCAGGGGTGGGCAAACGGGCTTAACATAAGAGCCACATAGAATAAATGTCAGGTGTTTGAGAGCCACAAATCACGAAGAAATATCACACACACGTTTTTATTGGATAACATGCAGATTTGCTTTTTATTAACATTAAACGAGACTGCCGAAAATGAAAACATTAAATAATACTGCCAGATATAAAAACAAAAGGGGTAAAAACAGATGCTGATGATGATATTTAAAGAGACAGATGCTGTCTCCAGGCCGGCCGGAGTGGGGGGCTTTGAGAATGCATTTAAAGTTGCTTTCTTACTCTGCTCCCCCCCCCACACCTGAAGCCTACCCAGGGAGGGGAACACTGGCTGGGGGAGAGAAGACCGGCTGGGGGGGGGGGGGAGGTTAGAAGAGAGGAAATTGCTCCGGTGATGAGCTCCCCCTCAGTGGCAGTCTTTAAGCTGGACAAACACTTGCCAGGGATGCTCTAGGCTGGTCCTGCATTGAGCAGGGGGGTTGGACCAGGTGGCCTGGATGGCCCCTTCCAATTCTGTGGTTCTGCGATTCGAAGACAGGCAAAAGGAAGTAGTGTGGCACGCAGCAAGTAGGTGATTTGTGGAACTCATTGCTACAAGATGCAGAGGATAGCCACTGAACTAATGGATTTAGGACAGAGGGACGGGTCTATTGTTATCTATTAGCCATGGTGGCAGGGGTCCTTTCGTAGAAAAAGAGGTGCAGGAGCTCATTAGCATAACTCATTTGCATAACTTATTTGCATATGCCACGCCCCCTGACATCACCGGAAGTGTGTCAGAAGGCGACACCCACCGCTCAGGCTCCACTGGACTGTTTTGGATTGCCAGCTATTGGGGGTGGGGGGGAACGTGCAGCTCTGTCCTCGCAGAGGAGGGAGAGCTTGTACCTGAATAAAACTTGGTCTTAAAGGTGCCACTGGACTGTTTTGGACTGGGGGGCCGGGGGTGGGGCTCTGCAGCTTACCTGGCTGCTTCTTGCTCTGACTGAGGGCTGCTGGGAGCAGGGGGTGGGGTTTGTTGCATGTGCCCGCCCCCTGGGCTCTTTACTGCTGGAGCTCCGCTCCTCTGTGCTCCTGCAGGAAATGACCCCTGCATGGTGGCCAAATGGGGCCTTCGATTTCAGAGGCAGGACACTTCTGTCAAATGCTGGGAAGCCGACCAGAGGAAGGGCTTCACCTGTTGGAAAAAGGATGTTGGCATCTGATCTAGTATGGTTGCTGTTTTTAGATGAAAAAGAAGCTGGAAATCTTTTTTGTGTTTTTTTTTTAAAAGGAGAGAGAGAGAGAGAGAGAGAGAGAGAGAGAGAGAGAGAAAAGTACTAGAGAGAGAGAGAGAGAGAGAATTGCATTCCAGTTGTGATAACATAACATAGTATGTTCTTACAACGAAAGTGTGTGAAGTAGTCACAACTGGCATGCTGTTCTCTTTCTCTACCTCTCTGTTTCCTTTATATATTAAAAAAACTAGCAGAAAAGATTTCCAGCTTCTTTTTAACCTAAAAATAGTTCCAGGAGATGAAACGCAAATCCACCTGAAAACAAACTAGGAACATCCAGATTCTCCCTTTTTAATGTTTTCCCCCTGCTTTTCGCGCGTGGTTGTCACCTTGCCAGTGTTTTGTGACTGGTGTTGCCAGTCTGTTTGTTCCTTTGGTGCCATTTGTTTGTGATGAACGCAAACAAAAAAAAAGGTACGACATTAATTTTGGCAGGAGAAATTCAGCACAAGGTGCGAAAATAAAGGGTCACTGGTTCAAGTTGCAGAAAGGACACATGAGGTTTTAACGGTCAGTCAGTTGAGAGTCACCTGGGCTGTTGCTCTCGAATGGACTGATGGACCTCCTGATGGCACCTGGTATTTCTGGCCACTGTGTGACAGAGTGCTGGACTGGATGGGCCATTGGCCTGATCCAACATTGGCTTCCCTTATGGTCTTATGTTCTTATGACTTAGAGTGGAACCACGTGGTTCTTTTAAACAATTCCCCCCCACACCCTGACAGAACGCATTCTCTGGAATTGCAGGTTAAAGGTAAAAGTAACTAAGGCACACAGCCTCGGAATCCCAGAGCCAGGCAGCTGTTGGCCCTCCAGAGGAACTGGTTGGCCACTGTGTGAGACACGATGCTGGACTAGAGGGGCCATTGGTCTGATCCAGCAGGGCTCTTTTTATGTTCTTATGAAGGCCTTGGCCTCTGTGCCTTGTTGCTGGTCCTCCAGAGGACCTGGTTGCCCCGTGTGAGAGAGGATGCTGAACTAGAGGGATCACTGGTCTGTTCCAGCAGGGCTCTTCTTATGTTCTTATGAAGGCCTTGGCCTCTATGCCTTGTTGTTTGCCCCTTTTTCTGAGTGAGCATGCTGGACTAGATGGACGCACTGGTCTGATCCAGCAAGGCTCTTCTGATATTCTTATCAAGAAAGGCCTTGGCCTCTATGCCCTGTTGTTGGCCCTCCAGAGGAACTGGTTGGCCTTTATGTGAGACAGGATGCTGAACTAGATGGACCACTGGTCTGATCCAGCAGGGCTCTTCTGACGTTCTTATCAGAGAAGGTCTTGGCCTCTATGCCCTGTTGTTGGCCCTCTAGAAGAACTGGTTGGCCTTTATGTGAGACAGGATGTTGGACTAGATGGACCACTGGTCTGATCCAGCAAGGCTCTTCTGATGTTCTTATCAAGGAAGGCCATGGTCTCTGTGCCCTGTTGTTGGCCCTCCAGAGGAACTGGTTGGCCTTTATGTGAGACAGGATGCTGGACTAGATGGGCCACTGGTCTGATCCAGCAAGGCTCTTCTGACGTTCTTATGTAACATCGGGGAGTAATTCATCCTTTCCCCTCTCGCCCTGGGGTACACATTGAAAATCACCACTGGCACCCCATGCTGCTTCTTAACTTTGTTGGTGAAGACTTACCTAGAGAATCCCCCCCCCCCCCGAGGGTAAAGCAGCTTTGTGAGCCATGCTCCCTCTAAGCTGTGGAGTCTTGTGAGCAAAAATTCTACTTTCTGAGCTACTGGCATTAAAGTTGTGAGTGAGTGATCTGGCGACTGGAGCCATCCTTCCTGAGTTAAGACAAAAATGTGTGAGCCGGAGACTAAAGAACTGTGAGCTAGCTCACACTAACTCAGCTTAGAGGGAATTTCCAGTGGGAAAATTAGGAGAGGAGAAAGCCATTAAAAGCTCCCTGTTAACTGCAGCCCTAGTCGCTGCAAACAAACAAACAAAAAAACACCCGGAAAAGCTGCCTAAAAGGATCGTGGAAATACCCGGTTAAATTTAATCTGGATCGGAGCCAGGGTTTCTGAGTGTTTAGAGAGTGCTAGGTTTGAAGCCATTGTGTCTTTAGATCGTTTTGTTCAGAAAAAGAGAAGACAGATGGGGGGGACGTTTGTGCCTAGTCCAAGGCCTTCTGGAGCAGACGCCAAGGCTTGGCAGCTCTTTTGACGTTCTCTCGCTCCCCCAGGTCTGTGTGCGAAGTCCAGTGGGAAGCTGAGTTTTTCACCCTGCAAGACAGTAACAGCAAGCTGGTCGCCGCTTTGCACGAAGCCAACGCCAACGTGGAGCAGTGGAAGAAACAGCTTGCGGCCTATCAGGAGGAGACAGAAGCGCTGCGGCTTCGAGTGAGTAGGGCGGGGAGGGGGACATCGGAGAGGGATGGGCGCAATGTTTCCTCTAGTTCTTCCCCCCCCCCCCACTGAGCGGAGCAGTTCACACCCTGAGCAGAACATAACGGCTGTGATCTTAAAGTGGGCAACGGGCAGTGCAAGACCCTGCATGGATCCAGGCTGCTGCTGTGCAGGGCTTCCAGCAGCCAGTCACCCGCACAGCTTAGAGGCAAAATGCTCCCTCTGAGCTGTGGAGTCTTGGGAGCAAAGATTCTACTTTGGGAGCGACTGGCATTGAAGTTGTGAGCGAGCGATTTGGCTCCTGCATCAGTTAGTTTGCTCTGGAGCCCTCCTTCCTGGGCTAAGGCGAAAACCTGTGAGCCGGAGGCTAAAAACACTGTGCGCTAGCTCACGCTAACTCAGCTTAGAGGGAACACTGCTCCTCACCAATGCTCCCTCTAAGCTGCGGAGTCTTGTGAGCAAAAAGTCCACTTTGTGAGCGACTGGCATTAAAGTTGTGAGCGAGCGATTTGGCTGCTGCATAGATTAGTTTGCTCTGGAGCTTTCCTTCCTGAGCGGAGACAAAAATGTGCGAGCCGGAGGCTCAACAAACTGTGAGCTAGCTCACACTAACTCAGCTTAGAGCAGGGGTATCGAAGTAATTTGTTCTGCGGGCCGGATCTGACATAAATGAGACCTTGTTGGGCCAGGCCGTGTGTGTCATAAAATGTAATGCCAGGTAGTGGAGATATAGACTATAAAAAGGACACAAACACAAAGATTTTTTCAGAGTTCTGAGTCTAGGACCCAGGTTAAAACATGAAATGGCTGAGTGATTAAGAGAGCCTGGCGAAGCAAGCGATGATGCAGCAGCAGTAGCAGAACTGGAAGGAGGAGGTGGCCTGATCTGGCCCCTGGGCCACATGTTTGACACCCCTGGCTTAGGGGGAACACTGGATGGGAGCCACTTGGCCTTGCAGAGACTTGATTTGGGTGCAGCCTGGCAGTCTGGATAAAGTTGCTGCTTCATAGGGCTTGTACAGAAGACTTGACCTAAGAGGCCTGCTGTGTGGGGTAGGGTTGCCAACTCCGACCTGGGAAATTCCTGGAGATTTGGGAGCAGTGCCTGTGGAGGGGGGAGTCTGAGGAGAGATTTGACCCAAAATACTGGAACTTCAGGGCATACGGTGAAGCTGGTGGGCTGGAGGTTCAGGACGGACAAAAGGAAACACTACTTGATACAGAGAGTGATTAAAATGTGGGATTTGCTGCCAGAACATATTGTGATGGCCAGAGGAATAAACAGCTTTAAATGGGAATGAGATGGACTTAATCTGTTGATGGCTACTAGCCATGGTGAGTGATGGGAACCTCCACATTCAGAGGTACGAATCCTCTGAATCCCAGAGCCAGGAGGCAACTTCAGGGGAAGGCCTCGGCCTCTCTGCCCTGTTGTTGGCCCTCCAGAGGAACTGGTTGGCCACTGTGTGAGACAGGATGCTGGACTAGAGGGACCACTGGTCTGATCCAGCAGGGCTCTTCTTATGTTCTCATCGGGGAAGGCCTTAGCCTCTCTGCCCTGCTGTTGGCCCTCCAGAGGAACTGGTTGGCCACTGTGTGAGACAGGATGCTGGACTAGAGGGACCACTGGTCTGATCCAGCAGGGCTCTTCTTATGTTCTCATCGGGGAAGGCCTTAGCCTCTCTGCCCTGCTGTTGGCCCTCCAGAGGAACTGGTTGGCCACTGTGTGAGACAGGATGCTGGACTAGAGGGACCACTGGTCTGATCCAGCAGGGCTCTTCTTGTGTTTTTAAGCACTGGCAGTGCCAGCAAGCGCTTCACGCCCCTCCCCCCACCAGTTAGTCCCACCTAAGAATTTTGGATTTGCTGCATTCGCCTAGGCTCAGTTCAGACATGCAGGTGACAGAAAGCTGAGGTTGTAAAAGTTCTTACACTTCAAGCGTTAGGCTCCGGATTGTCTTTCGAACTCTCCTCTATTTAAAATCACCTGCGTTAAGCTGCCTTATAATGCCTCGGCCCTTTGGTCCATCAAAGTCGGTATTGTCTACTCAGACCAGCACCAGCTGTCCAGGGTCAGGCAGAGAAAGGTCTTTCACATCACCTCCTAACTGGAGATGCCAGGGACTGAACCTACATGCCTAGAGGAATGCCAGTCACCTGACTTTGGGGTCAGGAAGCAATTTTCTCCACGCCAGTTTGACCAGGGATCCTGGAGGGTTTTTTCTTTGCCATCTTCTGGGCATGGAGCAGGGGTCACTGGGGGTGTGTGTGGGGGAAGGAAGTTGTGAATTTCTTGAATTGTGCAGGGGGTTGGACTAGATGACCCTGGGGATCCCTTCCAACTCCATGATTCTATGATTGATTCTGTGTGGAAAGCAGGGGCTCTTCCACCGAGCCACAGCCTCTCCCCAGCAGAAAGGGTACCAAACTTTTCTCCCTATCTTGATAATCTTTTCCTCTTTGGGAACAGTCAGAGCTGGAATCCAACACCTGCCCTCTGAAGCAGCCCCATTCCTTTTGCCCTTTTGGGATTCTACCACATCATTTTCACTTGCTGGGGAGGGGCGCTCCGTCAGCCATTTCCCATCTCTCTTCTGAAGTGGCAATGTGGAAGAATGACCTAAACCCCCCACCCCCACCCCACAGGCTAACTTGGAACGAGGTCAGACCAGAACAATGACTCATGCAGAGATACAGTGGGCAGGCTCCTGTTCAGTTGGGGTACTGTGGGATCTCAAGAGACTTAATCTATTCTCCCCTGTGCGCATTAGGAGTTCTCTCAGAGCACATTAATCAGCCCCGGCACACGGCCTGGGAATTACAAATTAATTAGATCCCACAGGAAGCGTGAGACACTCGTAGGAGAGACGATGTGCAGGCAATCATTCTGTTTCCAGAGACAGCCGTTCCGGGTTCCCCGTCTGGCCCCCTGGCTCTGCTGGGCAGCTGCCTGGTGTGGCAAAAGATGATCTCTGGCTGCTAAAATTAGCTGGCGTTCAAGGTCGTCAGGTCAGACGGGAGGCCGGGGAGGGAAGCAGACAAACGGACCCCTGTCAGGCCTCAGTAACAAGGCCCCCGCTGTGATCTCTGGCAAGGAGGGAGAGGTCGCTGCCCAGTCCCGGGAGACACATCACCCCTGCGCCATTGTTCGCATAGGGAGGAACAAAATAGAACTGCTCTTTTATTGTACTGCAGGGTGGACCTCACACTGCAGCAGACAGAGTGTGGCACAAACGTGTCATCCATGGGGAAAGGTCAGGTGCGGAGTCCTGTGAGCAAGAATTCTGCTTTGTGAGCTGCTGGCATTAAAGTTGTGAGTGAATGATTTGGCTACTGCGTAAATCAGTTTGCTCTGGAGCCGTCCTTCCAGAGCTAAGACAAAAATGTGTGAGCCGGAGGCTAAAAAACTGTGAGCTAGCTCACTTTTAACTCGGCTTAGAGGGAACACTGGTCAGGTGGTAATGCCCCCCCCCAAAAAAAAAACAACCCAAGGTTTTTGTATAGCATTAATTTCGAAAAATGTCTGTCTGCTTAAAACTGAGCGGTCATGGGAAATAACCTTCCTCCAAGGTGTTTTGAACGGATAATTTTAAATGGAAAGCTGGTGTGATGTAGTCGAACTCAAACCCGGTACGGATCCTTGCTTGCCAGGAAACCTTTTTGCATGATGTTGGACCACTCAGTCACTCTCAAGCAAGCCTACCCCACAGGGTTGTTGTGAAGATAAACTGGTGGAGGGGGGAGAACCCTGAGCAATTTGCAGGGAAGGATGAGACTGAAGTGCGCCAAGTTTGGTGTAGTGGTTAACAGCGCGGACTCTAATCTGAGAGTACCGGGTTTGATTTCCCACTCCGCCGCATGCAGCTGCTAGTGTGACCTTAGGTCAGTCACAAGTTCTCTCAGAGCTGTTCTCTCAAGAGCAGTCCTTGAAAGATCTCTCTCAACCCCACCTACCTCACAGGGTGTCCTGTTGTGGGGAGGGGAAGGGAAAGGAGGTTGTAAGCAATGCTCCCTCTAAGCTGTGGAGGCTTGTGAGCAAAGATTCTACTTGGTGAGCTACTGGCATTAAAGTTGTGAGTGAGTGATTTGGCTACTGCATAAATTAGTGTGCTCTGGAGCCATCCTTCCTGAGCGAAGACAAAAATGTGTGAGCCAGAGGCTAAAAAACTGTGAGCTAGCTCACACTAACTCAGCTTAGAGGGAACACTGGTTGTAAGCCGCTCTGAGACTCAAAAGCGAAGGGCGGGGTATAAATCCAATCTCCTCTTCTTCTTCTCTCTAATAAAATAATAGAGCCAGAAGTGTTTGGTTGGGATAGAAAATTCTCCTGCCGCTAGTTTTCTCATCAAGGATTTGTATCCTTGTTCTGCCTGGTTTTTCTGAAACTTCCCTAGCTGTGAAGTTTGTCGGAGCTAAGAGTTTGACAGCGTGGGAAAACTGAAGGGGTAACAATAATGGCACTTGAGAGGTTGATCCTTAAATGTGATATTGTGAGTAGTCCTCCTTAAGATGTAAAAACAATGACAAACATATTGAAACGTGTTTGCATTTGGCCGGAGCCGGGCGTCGGTAAGCCAGGCTTAATTTTTTGCGGCAGTTCTGCAGAAGTACAGAAAAGGCTATGGACAGATGTGCTACTTGGTGCAGAGCTGAGATCCCTTCACGCCTGAGCTTGCATTAAAACAGATCGGGTTTCTGGTCCTCATGGGTACCAAGGTACAAGGTACAAAGGAGAGAGCCAGTTTGGTGTAGTGGTTAAGTGCGCGGACTCTAATCTGGGAGAACCGGGTTTGATTCCCCACTCCTCCACTTGCACCTGGCTGGATGGCCTTGGGCAAGCCGTAGCTCTGATAAGAGCTGTTCTTGGAAAAGAGCAGTTTCTGTCAAGAGCTCTCTCAGCCCCACCTACCTTGTGGGGAGGGGAAGGGAAAGGAGTTTGTAAGCCGCTCTGAGACACCTCTGGGTAGTGAAGGGTGGGGTATAAATCCAATCTC